TGACCTCCACGCTTGTAACCACATGCTCACCAATCCACCACTTTTGTCCTAAACCACAAACCTCAAACGTTTATGCAGCACTCTTCAAAGACCGCACCACCGGCCGGCGTCATAAATTGCACACCCCTCAGCAAGAACCCAGCACCCTTCCTAGTCTCGTCTCTTCCAGCTTCCCTCTCCCCACAGAAATTCTCGTGCTCAGGCCACAGCGTCGCATGTTTATTGTTTCTCGACTGCTTCAGGTTCTCATGCCTCCAAGCCTATCCAGAATGTTCTTCTACCAGTGATGAGGCCTACTCATTCTCCAAAAGCTCAAGCATCATGTTCTCTTCAAAACTCTCCATTACCCTAGAACTTTCTTTGGTATTCCAAAGGCCTTTCTGCATACGTCATTCAATATTCATAAACTATATTCTGATTTTGTTGCAAAATCCTGGAAGGCAAGGGATAGGCCTTAAGTTATTGGCATTATTCCCAGTGCCTAGCATAGTACCTATGCTCAAACAGTTCCTGTTTGATGGTTAAACACTGCTCCCATGAATAGTGGCAATCTGTAAGACTGGGGGAAAAAAAAGGGTCACTATAAACATAAAGTATTTCTAGAACCTTTTTGAGATATTTTAAATCCAGTTAATTCCAAAACATATCTCAAAAAGATTAAAAATGCTGAGACAAAATTCATACTGAAAGGTTTCTCAGGCCAAATTATCAGTTAAAAGAATGAATGGAATCTCAGTATTTGTAATATTTACTTGGAAAATCGAAAGACAATTTCCAACAGGAGGTTATCTTTGACTATATTCTCATTTTCAATAGATATAAAATAAGATCTAGCAAAAGTAGTCTTAGTTAATGGTAAAACATTTTAAGGTTCTCCTCTTACAAAAGATGCTTAATCTTGGTTCAAAAGAACAAAAGCAGTAGAATAATCTTACTGGACATGAATTTAATTTTCCTTTTTAAAAAAATAGATTTAAAAATTATTTCCTATTTTCAAATGACTTAAATCTTTTTCAAAATGAAACAGATTGTACAAGTTTACCTCCACCAATCATCACAAGAACTGACTTTGTATTTCATACAATCTACAATTATTATCTGCAAAACTGCTATAAATGTACTTGATAATTAATACAGAAATTAAAAATATCAGTCTGGATAATGCATTTTGAATGTACTTATTTAAAATTCAGTCTATTTTCATTAGACAAAGGAAACAGATAAACTGTAGCTTTTGGTATAAAAGGAAGAGCACTAATTCCCCAACTCTTTTTCAAAACTGTTAGAACATGTGATTTATGTTTTTTAAATTCCAAATATAACCCACTGTATTTAGCACCTTCTGTACCTTCCAGTATATTAGATAATTGCACACCAAG